GAATCTGATGATGACAGTGAAGCAAGTGATGCTGAAACAAGTATTGACTTCTGTGGTACATGTAGGGTTACTGGCGTGACACAAGATGATGTCACATGCACTGAGCCGTCGCACCTTAGGATCACTAGAGTGACACAGGATGATGTCACATGCACTGAGCCACCACACCTCAGGTATGCTACTCGTTATCTCGAGAATCATAGAAATTTAAACACAATTTTTTTGCCCACAGGAGAAGAAGATTCAGAAGATGATGAAGAATGCTCCATTGAGATGATTCAACAGCAACTGAACGATCTTCTAAAGCAATGTCATGAGGTTGGTGATGAAAACAAGCGTTTGAAGGAGAAAGTAAAGGAACTGGAAGAGGAGAATGAAGCATTTAAAGTCAACCTGAAGGCCAAAATCGATGAGCTTGAATTGGAAAATGAGGTACTAGAGGTAAAGCAGGATTTTTCCTTGAAAGATATTGACAATCTAAAAGAATTGCTGAGACATTTGCGAAACAACGATTGCAATAAGACAAGGCAGATCAAGAAAAATCATGCTCCAATGAAAAATGTTGAACCCTGCCTCAACCTGAAGTGTGACAACTCCCCTATTGCAACAACGTTAGAGGCGTCAGTCAGTAAGTTAAATCGCACTACGATTCTTCCTTCCAACAGGTTAGATGAAATCTTAAATGCTCATCCCTCAAATCCTAATAAACTTGGTCTTGGCTTTATTGGGAGTAAGTTCGATGGTAAACCAAATCCAAATCGAAAAATTAATTTTGTGAATAATACTGTCAAACCTACTCCACAACATGTTGCCTCACAGTCTTATACAAAAAGGTTTGTGCCAACTTGTCATTTTTGTCACAAAGTAGGACATGTTAGGCCAAAATGCTTTAAAAGATGGAAATTGATAAATAAGAGTTTAGCATATCAATCATCCAATTCCGCTGCATGGGATCACAATTCCCAAAGAAGATACTCTGATAATAAATAGATGGATAAGTATAATGCAAACTGCTTTCCTGCTATTCTTTCTTTAAAAGCATGTACTACTAACTCTTGGTATTTTGATAGTGGTTGCTCCAAGCATATGACAGGTGTACCTAATTACTTAAAAAACCTGCATAATGTGTCTGGTGGACAAGTTACTCTTGGTGATGGAAACAAGACCTTTGTGAAAGGAGAAGGTAACTTGGATGTTGGAGGATTACCTAACCTTGACAACGTTCTGTATGTAGAGGGTTTGAAATCAAACCTACTCAGCGTAAGTCAGCTATGTGATCTATACGACTCAGTGTTGTTCACCAAGCGTAAGTGTGAAGTGTTTGATCAAAACAACAGGTGTGTTCTATCTGGTTATAGATCATCTGATAATTGTTATAAAATTGATCAAACTGACCAAGTTGAACAGTGTCCCCACACCACCTCTGATACCACAGATCTGTGTTGTCATCGACTGGGGAATTTGAATTTTCAGGATCTAACACCAAATATCAATGCAGGTTGTGTGAAAGGTGTTCCCCAACTAAACTCCAATACACCAGATTTATGTGGCGACTTTCTA